GAGCAACAACAAGAGCGCTGGACCTGACGGCATTCCTGCTGAAATCTACAAACATGGAGGTCCCCATCTGATTGAGCGCCTCCATAGCCTCTTACTCACCATATGGGCCACAGAGGCCATCCCCCAGGATTGGAAAGATGCAAATATCATAACAATCTATAAGAATATAGGTGACAAAGCAATTTGTGGTAACAGCAGGGTCATCTCCCTCCTTGTAGTTGCTGGCAAGATCCTGTCAAAAGTCATGTTATCAAGACTTATCCAACAGCTAACAGAGAACACTCTTCCTGAATCCCAATGTGGATTCAGGAAGGATCGCAGTAAAATAGACATGATCTTCGCAGCTGGGCAAATTCAAGAAAAGCGTCGAGAGCTAGACCTTTACACCGCCTTCATTGACCTCTCCAATGCTTTCGACACAATAAACAGAGAACTTTTGTGGACTAAGTTGGAGAGGGTAGGTGTACCACCAAGATTTTTAAACATCCTCCTCCAGATGCGTGATGGAATGCAAGCCCGGGTACTTGTGGGTTGTGTGCAGTCAGAACCGTTTAGTGTCTAAATGGGCGTAAGACAGGGCTGTGTGCTGACACCTGTGTTGTTTAACACCTTTTTTGCTGGCTGTAGCACAACTCTCACACAATGCCCTTGGGCCTGATGCAGGTGTGGGCATACGGTACCGTCTTGACGGTAGCCTTTTTAATATTAGACGTCTGGAAGCCTACACAAAGACATTTAACAGCTCAGGTCATAAAACTACATTATGCAGATGACTACAATAATGACACATAACAGAGAATCTATGCAACGTGCACTGGACGTGCTCTCAGGTAATTACAGCTCGTTTGGTTTGGAAATTAACACCAAGAAGACTGATATTTTTGTCCAGCCCATTGTTCCAACAATAGAAGCAACACAATTCTACATTAATGGAGATCCTATCAAAATAGAACCAGTTTAAGTACATTAGTAGCACTCTCACACCCACCTGCTCGCTGGATATGAAAATTCAAACCAGAATCAGCTGCATTTGGACGTCTGAGAACAAGAGTCTTTCTCAACAATGACTTCAAATATGGAACGAAGACTGCAGTTTGTCTCGCTGTCTGTATATTTACATTGTTATTTGCCTCAGAAACCTGGACGCCCTACAGGCGCCGTATCCAAATGCCTTAAGCGTATCTTTGGAATATCCTGGGAAGATAGAGTGACTCATGAAGAACTATATCGTCGCTCAAACACGACTATCATTAAAACCATGCTAGCCAAAAGACACTTGCGCTGACTTTATCTCATTCGGTCGTACACGGTCCCTGTCTCATTGTACCAGTGTCAGTCATCTGTATCACGCTGTACTGCTGTACATAAGACATCTGGGAATAAATGATTACAAAAACCTAAGGGAGTTTCACATCAAAGTCTCTTTCATTAATACAACATCTTAAATGTATTGTGACATGGAAACTATGCAGAACCTAACATTTTACCAAAGAGCCATTGTGGTTTAGAATTATCCAAGGAGTTCTTCCTCCAATTTAATGTAATCTTTGCCAAATCACCCTGTATAGGCCTTTGTATACTGTATATGAATATCTATAAAAATAATAAAAAGAAGTGCCTGTCTGTGTATCTATTCCAGCCATTATTCCACACATATCACATTGGTCCTTGTGGTTATCAGCATATATATATATATATATATATATATATATATATATATATATATATATATATATATATATATATATATATATATATATATATATATATATATATATATATGAACATAAGAACATAAGAACATAAGAAAATAAGGAGTCTGCAAAGGCCGGTTGGCCTGTGCATGGCAGCTCCTGTCGAGAGTTACTACCACTCTCTATCATCCATGAATCTATCTAGCCTCCTTTTGAAACTTTCCAGAGTTCCCGCACTTACTACAAAGTTGCTAAGCTTGTTCCACTCGTCCACCACCCTATTTGTGAACCAGTTTCTTTCTATCTCCCTCCTAAACCTAAACTTATCCAACTTGAATCCGTTGCTCCGAGTCTTATCCTGCTCGGATATTATAAGAATTAGTATCTAGATCGTTTATGTAGATTATGAACAAGAGTGGGCCTAGTACTGACCCCTGGGGAACCCCACTGGTTACACGGCCCCACTCAGATTTAACACCATCTACGCTGACCCTCTGCGTTCTATCGGTGAGCCATGATTTTATCCAATTTAAAACTTTCCCCTCGATACCATGAGCCTTAATTTTTCTCAGAAGCCTCTGATGCAGTACTCTGTCAAATGCTTTGCTAAAGTCTAAGTAAATAGCATCGTAATTTTCGTCATTATCTACTACCTCGAAGACTCCTAAAAAACGTTAGCAGATTTGTTAGACAAGATTTTCCCTTTGTAAACCCATGTTGAGAGTCGTAGATTAATTTGCTTTTCTCTAGACGCGATCGGATGCTATCTGCTATAATTGATTCAAGAAATTTCCCCACTACTGACGTCAAACTGATCGGCCGGTAATTTGACGCTGATGCTCAGTCTCCCTTTTTGAATATGGGTGCTACATTTGCCTGTTTCCACAAGTCTGGCGCAACTCCAGTGTCTAATGATTTTGTAAATAATTTTATGAGTGGTCCGCTAATCTGTTCCCTACACTCTTTCAAGACTCGAGGGAAAATTTCATCCGGCCCTGGGGATTTTGTTTTCTTTAGTTTATTTATCTTCTTAAGAACATCCTCTTTTCTGATAGTGATATTCTTTAATTTCTCTTCTTCCTTTCCCATAAATATCAGTTCCACCTCTGGAATTTCATCTCAAATTTCTTCTGTGAAAACTGATAAGAAGTAGCTGTTCAATACTTTGCTTATTTCTCCACTGCCATTTATCACTTCTCCCCTCCCTGACTTTAAAGGCCCAACTTTGTCCTTGACCTTTGTCCTATATACCTGGAAAAATCCTTTGGGATTCGCCTTGGATTATCTTGCTATTTTGATTTCATATTCTCTCTCTTTGCTTTCCTTACATTTTTCTTAACATTCCTAGATAGTTCATTATACCTATTTCTGAGCTGCTCCTCCCCTCCCTTTAATTTCTTATATATTCCTTTCTTTATTCCTATGTCATGTTTAAGTTTTCTGGTCATCCACCTTGGCTCATTCGTATTTGACCTAATTTTTCTGTATGGTATATTTTGTTCTTGTGCTTTATGTAGTATACTAGTGAATATATTATAGTCATGATCAATTGTTGTGTCATCTATGACCTCACCCCTTCCTACTGGGGACTGACGTGCCTGTTCTCAGGTAACCTCACCTAGGTACCTTCTTAACCCCTGATAATCCGCCATCCGAAAGTTTGGGACTCTGACCATATTGTCATTGTTTTTCGTTTCCCAATTTAGGGTGAACCTGATTTATCTGTGATCACTGTCACCTAGTTCTTCCCCTACTGTGATATCCCTGGTAATATTTTCTTTATTTGTTAATACTAGGTCTAATATATTGTCACCTCTAGAAGGTTCTGTAATTTGTTGTTTCAAAAAATTGTCCTGTACTGCGTCTAGGAAGTCTTCAGATTCATAGTCACCTACAATGTTATCCCAGTCAATATTTCTGAAGTTGAAATCCCCCATAATGCATAGGTTGTTATATTTTGCTGCCCTACTCATTTCCTGCCATATGGGTTGAGCTACTTCTTTGCCAAGACTTGGGGGCCTGTAAATCACTCCCATAATTAGTTTTTCTCTTCCTTCCGTGATTTCTACCCACACAGACTCGGTTCCTATTTCACCCTCTATTGAATTATTAATACAACATTTTAATGTATCCTTGACGAAGAGTGCGACCCCTTCCCCCTTCCTACCTTGCCTCTCCTTGTGAAAAAGGTTGTACCCTTCTATGTGGTACTCTGATAAAAAAATTTTGCTCGCCAGATTCATCCAAGTTTCGGTGATTGCTATGACGTCTACATTCTCGGTACATACAACCGTTCTCAGCAAGTCTATTTTATTTCTAACGCTCCTACTGTTTGTATAGTATACATTTAAACCTACTCTTCCCTGGTCCTGTTTTACCCCTTGTCCTGAGCAACTAATTTTACTTGCCAGGACCTGCTTGTTTTTTGACTCCCACTTTCCCCGACCCCTCTCTACTGGCGAAACCCCCCCTTCGGAGTGACAATTTCACGCTCCAGGGATGCAGACAACGTCTTTACCCCCTCACGAGACAAGTGTACTCCGTCGCGACAGTACAGGTAGTCGTTGCCATAGAATCGTTGCCAGTTATCAATGAATGCCCAACCATTGTTTGCACAATGTTTTTCCAGTCGGCAATTTATAGCAATTGCCCTGGACAGCCATTCACGACCAACCCCTCTTCTAGGCAAGACACCACATACTATCGGGATCCCTCCCCTATCTCTAATCTTCCCCAACGCCTCCCTATACCTCTTGAAAAGTTCCTCACTCCTAACCTTACCTATGTCGTTTCCTTCCACACTAAGACACACTACTGGATTGGTACCCTCCCCTGACAAAACCCTGTCTAACCTCTCAGCTACATGCCCTATCCCAGCCCCAGGAAAACACAACCTAGTCCTACGTTTCCTATCTCTCGCACAAAAAGCCCTATCTAATATATATATGCACGTAAATCACGTGTCCATATAGCACGTGGACTTCGTTACCCAAACACTACCTCACTTGTCGGGAATCGAGCCCCGAACTTCTGCGTGTGAACAGGGATCGCCACCACCGCACCACAAGGATTACGTTGCTTACAAAAGTATGAATGAACAGGCTAATGTGCGAAATATAACAAACCCTAAGACTGCTTTTGTCGTCCCTGTGGTGCGGTGGTAGTGATCTCTGATCACTCGCAGCTGTCCAGGGTTCGATTCCCGACTAGTGAGGTATATATATATATATATATATATATATATATATATATATATATATATATATATATATATATATATATATATATATATATATGTATGTGTACCTTTTACTTAATACTGGCACGAGAGGACTGTCCTTTTGGCCGATCATGGAGAGTGTCAGTGGAAGAAATTCCTCCTTGGACCGATAGAATGAGCATTGGCCTGTAGGGTATAAAGCTGATATGAAGCTGGGATAACTTTGTTGAAACCGATGTAAAGAAGTTATATAGAAAATAGGTTATAATATAATATTAATAAATAAATAAATATATATACAGTATATATATATATATATATATATATATATATATATATATATATATATATATATATATATATATATATATATATATATATATATATATATATATATATATATATATATATATATATATATAGCCTTCTTGGCCCTACCGCCAACCCACATCAAATACAAGTTAAAACCATTATTAATATTGTGTGTGTGTGTGTGTGACAGTCACCTAACGAATAGTAAAAATAACGCCGGCGGGCAATTGAAAAGGTATAAGGATAGTCTTAAGACAAACCTGAATAAGTGCCAAATCGACCCCCTACCTGGGAGTAGATTAATCCACATCGTAACGCTTGGAAGAGCACTACACGAAAAGGTGTCAATACTTTCGAGTTAGCCCGACTGCAAACCGAGGCAGACAAGCGCCAACGTCGGAAACACTAGATGCAGCCCTCCACATGTGCAACGGATGTGAACGACCTGCGAGTCCCGTATCGGCCTTTTAGTCACCTCAAAATTCACCAACCTAGGTGACATCCCTAATAACTCATATCTATGTATCATAGCTAGAGGATCGTCATACACTATTCCGAGTGATAGGAAAGTAGTAGTAGTAGTAGTGACTTCAATGCCAGACTTGGTAGATATGCTGACATTTGGCAGGGAACCATAGGGAGAAATGGACTAGGCAAATGTAATCCCAACGGCCTACTCCTCCTCAGCAAGTGTGCGGCACAAAACTCATTATCACCAATACCTTGTTTAAGCAGGCCAACAAGTTCAAGGGTTTGTGACGACACCCACGATTCAAACACTGGCATCTCATTGACTACATCTTTGTCAGAGAATTAGACTGTCGAGATGACCCATCACAGAAGCCGTGCGTGGCTCAGACCACTGTGGCACTGATCATCAGCTCGTCAGAGCCAAACTCTCATTTCTCGTCGCCCCAAAACGGCGAAGAGTCTGGAGGATTCAGCGGTCACACATGCTTTCAAAGAGCAGCTCGAGCACGGGCTGATAAACAATCTGACAACAAACAACCCAAATCCCAGTGCCGAATAGGGTATTCTCGACACTGTCATGATAAAAACCTGCAATGAGACCCTCGACTAGAATGAAAGAATTCACCAGGACTGGTTTGATAAAAATGAGCCTGAAATCAACGTACTTGTCGACGATAAACGTGCTGCTTTCACTGACTGGCAGAACAACCCTCAGTTTCGAATCAAAGTTGATACTTTCCTCAAGAAGAAAGCGGTGTCCCAGCGCGAACTCTACAACCTAAAGAAAAATGGTTGAAAAATAAAGTGTGTGAAATGCAAAACTTCCATATCAACATAAGATGAGCGAATTTTTCATTTCTACAAAAACATTTTATTGGCCAGTCACTCATGCCGGAGCACCCTCCTCTCATCCGTTGGTAACTCCCTAATTAAAGATGAAGAAGGCATCCCTTAGTGATAGAATGAGCACTACCATTCGCTGTTCAACCGAAACACCGATGTGGATGTCCTAACTACCCAGCAGGTCCCTCAGCACCCAGAACTGACTCACCTCAGCTATTCTCCATCCCTGGATTAGGTAGCTAAAGCCATAAAACTGAAGAAAAATAACAAAGCCTCAAGCCCTGATGGAATCCCAGCCGAAGTGTATAAAGCAGGAGGACCTCTGCTTACCAGCCGTCTCCACTCTCTCCTCGAGAATATATGGGAAAAGGAGGAAATCTCCCAAGTTTTTAAAGACGACTCCATCGTCAATATTTATAAGAACAAGGGAGAACGGTCAGACTATGGCAACTATTGCGGGATCTCGCTACTGTCAGTAGCTGGAAAGATTAATGCCCGAGTCCTGCTAAACAGACTTCTTCCTGAGGTGAAAAATTTCCTCCCAGGATCTCAATGCGTCTTTAGACCATTACGTGGCACCATTGACATAATCTTTGCTTCCCGAGAAATACAGGAAAAGTGGAGAGAACTGCGTTGTGACCTATGCATTGGCTTGAACGACCTCTGGCGAACCCTCAGCCGTTTCGGTTGCTCACCAAATTTGATTGCCATTGTGAGGTAATTTCGCGATGGCCTGAACGGCAGTGTCCTGTACAATGGCACACAGTCTGAGTTCTTCCCCTTCCTAACGGTGGTAAAACAAGGATTTGTACTGGCGCCAACTCTCTTTCCATTTTTTGGTTGCCTTCCTTACTCGTGCCAGCGCCAATTTAGCCGGCGGCGTGGACATCCAGTGCCGGATGAGGTGTTTTTGAACATAAGACGACCCCAGGCCGGAAAATAAGTGTCGGCAGTTTCCATTTCTGAACTTCATCATGCAGACGACCTCACCCTTGTCTCTCACACTGAACACGACCTACAGGAGATCCTGAACACCTATGCAGATGAGTATTTGCACTTCGGTCTTGAGGTGAATGTACCAAAGACTCAGATTCTTTTTCAGCCTGCCCCTGTTTCAACCACACCTCCACTATCTATCCAGCTTAACCGTACTACCCTCTTTAATGATAGCCACCTCAAGCATCGCGTTTCCCACCGATCCACCACTGCGGATATCGATGAAGAGAGTCATTATCGGATCGGATGTGCATCTCAAGCCTTTGGTAGACTCTGTACCATATTTTCAGCTGTAGGGTGCTGAAATTTTCGACAAAGCTGCATGTATATAAGCAAATACCTTACTGTCAACTAACAAATGGCATACATAACGCTGGCGGGCAACGGAAAGGTATAATGATAGCCTTAGGACAAACCTGAAAATGTGCCAAATCGACCCCCTCACGTGGGAGACGATCACTCCACACCGTAACGCTTAGAAGAGCACCATACGAGGTGTCAATACTTTCGAGTTAGCCCAACTGCTTACCGAGGCAGGGCCAGCATAGGAAAGACGCTGTCGCCGCCCCTCCCGCACTACATGTAGCAGTATCTGTGGATGATTCTGCTTGTCCCGTATCGGCCTCTCGAATCATCTCAGATCTCTCCAACGAAAGTGACATCTTCAATAACTCATATCGTTGTATCATAGTTGGATGATCGTCATACTCAATTCCGAGTAACAGCAAAGTCGTATGTAGTATTATGTGTGTGTGTGTGTGTGTGTGTGTGTGTGTGTGTGCGTGTGTGTGCGTGTGTTTGTGTCTGTGTGTATGTGTGTGTGTGTGTGTGTGTGTGTGTATAAAGTACCTTTTTTATGAAATTCTTGTATTCTTATGTGTAAAGTACCTGTGCGTGTAAAGTCTTGGGACATGATCGCCTTTAAACTCATCTCCACTTCCATGAGCACGTGGTCCCCTCTTGTCACTAGGGTGTCGGCGGCCTTCCCGAACTGCGGCAGTGTTTTATAGAGAATACGATCTTCCTTCTCCAGTTCGGCTAACTCCCAGAATATGCCCGAATCAACAGACTGATAAAAAAATACGAAAATGTAGTAGACAAAACCTTTAAAGGCATAATACTTCCCCGTCAAAATTATATGTGCAAAAGGTAAATGTTTATATCACAATTAAAAACATCTAATAAACCCATAGAATAATTACAAAGTCATCACAATAATATACTTGCAAATACTGCACACTGGCTGCCTTCTCTTCCCATATGGTAACGACCGAAGAATCGTCCACGATGTCTTGGAGAGACTGGAAGGGTTGAGGGATGTGTCTCACGGCCAGGAGGGACATGAGGTTGCCGGCGTAGCTCCGTGTTAACACCAGTGTCATCAACATCCACATGGCAAATATGAGTCGCTCCCACCACCAGCCTTCAAGCAGCGGGATGTCTGTGGCCATAGCAACCTTTTAGGTAATTGGAATTTAAAGGGTAATTTATTTTAGATGTTGTTTCCCAAAGCCAGAAACAGTTGACCCATGGTTTATGTGTACAACTGTGCATATGACTTACTAATTGAGATCATATATAGATATAAAAAAAGCAAGATACACTTACAAGAAACACGAAATTAAGTTCAATCGTGTGTGTGTGTGTGTGTGTGTGATGAATTGGTGGTGTCAACTGTAAGAATGTAAAGCGGTCAAAATGTCAGCGAAATTAAGATAGAATTTCTATTGGTGTGAATGTTCCCGATATTAAAGAACTGTAATAAATAAATTGACAGTGACTGCGGGTTTCGACCGAGAGATTTTTTTTTCTGCAATGAGGTTTCTTGCATTATAAATAATTTTGAATACGGTATTGAATTAGTTAAAGAAGGTATAACAGAGAGAGGTATGCCTAACACTTATTTTGAGAGCTGAATATCCTCTGAACGTGGCTCTGCCCTTGGGATACGATAGCTAGAATGACCCACCAATTGTCAGCTGGTATAAGAGTCGGGTTCATGTACTATAGATTCTAGTGTACCGGATTAATATAGAGATGAAGGCAAGTAACAGAAGGAGGAGAAGGTGAGTGGGAGGATAAATATAGAAGATTATAGAAGACTTGAAAATTATTGATCTGAGAATGTGGAGGTGTTAGGGAAGGTTAGTTAATTTCGTACTAACCACTGGACCTCTGCAACTTTATTTCTACGGCGTCTGAGACTTATGAACTACTTACCTACAATATAAATATCAACTTACTCTGCTGTAATAGTACGCGAATGAAAGTGAATATATCTTGTAGCGTATTCTTTTGTTCATCATTCGTGACTGAAAAACATGAAGACAACAGCCACATGGATACAGGAACCACTAGCAAAGCCATTGGGATAGCCACCCACACCAGCGGCGCCAAGGGCAGCAGGAACCCCCATGGGTCCACTTCAGGCAGCCCTCGACCACCCAGGATCTTATAGTAATCTATCAATATTGGCCCAGTAAAATCCACCACCTCAGCACGGGTTGCACTGACACCAAAGGGGCCAACACCTATGTCTGCTTTCTGTAGGTTCCAAAAATATGAGTGATTAGTAGGACGATTTACTTGTATTCAGTGTGATAACTTGAAGCATAAGATGTTACATACAGTCTTCTAAAAAGATTTTTTTTTAATTTATATCCATGACGTCTATCTTTAAGACAGATACCAATTTTCTAGTCCTCGCCAAACAAATATAATGAAACGGTTTTGACATATAATGAAAAATAAGGATTCAAATGCGCTAGGAGCAGCAGTATCATAGAAATCTTCGCTTCTGCCTTGCCTCTTAGTGTATTCTCTTCAGGTGGAAAGGGTCTGAAAATTGGACTTCATTACTAAGTACAGTATGTTTAATGGAGTATTATCAACACATAACAACACGATATTAAAGTGTTTGTATGATTAAATTTTTAAGGCCTAAGGATTAACCATAAACCATACCGGATTGGAATAGTATATTTAGATTAGAATGTTACTCCCTGCTTGGTTTGGTGCCCCACAACACTCACCTCCCTCATCACCATGCCCACCATACCACTCCAAGATCCATCAGCGTGCTTGAAACCCCAGGACCCATCAGGAGGTCTTACGTAGGTGTACCTGGATAACAAGCATAAATTAAGTTAATATCATTACTAACATTTCATTAACAGAAGAGACTGACCTGTACTCGCAAGTTATCAGGCTTACTATAATGTTAGTGATTCCTGAGATTTATGTGTTCAATTGTAATAAAATCAAGCAAATGGAAAAATATTCATGTAAACTTACGAAAAATTTAGAGCCTTGGAGAGGTAGTCCATCAGGTTTGGGACGGGACCCGTAAACTTGAGCCTCTTTCCCCCGGGAGCCTCAGGGTTCTCCAAGGTGATCATCTTATTAATTGGATTTACTTCCGTTGCAGCAACTAAATTTGGCCGTTCAAGAAATCTACGAATAAGTCAACATTTTTCTTCCATGTGAAGTAAAATAGAAGACTGCTATAAAGATCTAATATTTACAAAATCCTGTACAAACTGTATATTCCCTGTACAGTGGAATAACTATCTGAAGAATGGCTGTACCATCAATGTAAACACCTGTGTTCTCTTACAATACGAAATACCAGATATGTTTAACCTGACTAAAACTCACTTGTTGTATTTATCAGGGAATAGTGTGAGGTTCGTGGTAAGAGTAAGGCGGCCCTCCTGTGGCATCCATGAGGCAACCTGCAACGCCTTAGGGTTATATGGCAGATGAAGATACAAACTACACCTGCAACAAAACAGAATTTGGACGACTTTAAGTTAATATATTTTCTGTTCATCTACTGTATATTAGCGTCCAATCATAATCCTTCACTAGCTGACACTGGGGCACAGTAACGAGATGAAATGTATATCATTCCTTCCAGACCACCTTAGGGCATTGGTTGGGTTTTCCACGACGAGTATCATTGCGTTCATCAGAGAGAAGGTTTTGTGTAGGTAGTGGAGCTCCGGGAGGGGCAGGCTGGTGACAGCGAGGAGCCTCGTTGACCACACCAGGAGGCGGCCCTTGAGGGACCACTCGGCGAAGGCGGCGAGGAAGGCTGGGTCGTCGCTCACCACCACCACCGTCAAGCACCATGACACCTGCCGCAGCTGTTGACGTCAACATGGTAGAAGTTATGTGAGAGTGACCTACCCGTTTCAGTAGTAATGTGAGAGTGACCTACCCGCCTCTGTAGTAATGTGAGAGTGACCTACCCACCTCAGTAGTAATGTGAGTGTGACCTACCCGCCTCAGTAGTAATGTGAGAGTGACCTACCCGCCTCAGTAGTAATGTGAGAGTGACCTACCCGCTCAGTAGTAATGTGAGAGTGACCTATCCGCTCCAGTGTAATGAAGAGTGACCTACCCGCCTCAGTAGTAATGTGAGTGACCCACCCCGCCTCAGTAGTAGCGAGTGACCCACCTGCCTCAGTAGTAAAGTGAGAGTGACCTAACGGCCTCAGTAGTAATGTGTGAGAGTGACCTGCACCCGCCCAGTAGTCATGTGAGAGTGACCTACCTGCCCCAGTAGTAATGTGAGTGACCTACCCGCCTCAGTAGTAATGTGAGAGTGACCTACCCGCCTCAGTAGTAATGTGAGAGTGACCTACCCGCCGAGCCTCGTCGACCACCCGGGAGAGCTGTGCCTGCGTCACGTTAGCGTCCTGGTCGTCCACTGCCACCTCGAACACCGCCACACCCCAGGGAGCCATCTGATTTGCTAGCTGAGAAAAATGACATAGAGTGACAGAATTAATCTTTGATATTAATATTCATTGCACATTGTTTGAGTTATTAATTATCAAATATATAACCCCCCAGTAATCTTCATAAACGTACCATGAACACATTGTTGGCCGACGAGGTAGCGTCCGTGAACAGGAGAACGGAAGAGCGTTTACTTGACGCTGATGACAAAACTGCTTCCACACCTCCAGCCGCTGCTGCCGTAGTGTCGCGAATAACTGAAATCGTTTGGGTATGAGAGGTGATATAGAAAATGGTAACTATTATTTTACATAGACAAACATACAGATAGACAGACACACACACACACACACACACACACACACACACACATATATATATATATATACATATATATATATATATATATATATATATATATATATATATATATATATATATATATATATATATATATATATAAAACAGGGTGTCCCGAGTCTCTTTTCGGCTATAGGTATTTATTGCTAAAACCAAAGGGATTTAGTAATACAGTGTTCTGCATCATATTACTTAGTTAATCGAGTTTTTTTCTTTACAGGTGCAGTATAAACGACCTCGACATGTGCACCCCTGTGTGGCTCTTTTTAAAGCACATCCAACCGATACCGGTTTCTCTCCCGCGTTGGCTAAGACATTTGGTGTTACCATGCCTAATGCATCGGTTATTCGTTGACGGTGGATTGCACAATCCTTTACATAGCTTCACAAGAAAAAATCTAGAGGTGTTATATCTGGAAAGCGCGGAGACCATCAGATGGGTCCATCGCGACCAATCTATCTGTCAGGAAATCTTTCATTCAGAAACTCACGTACAATTAAGCTTATGTGTGGAGGTGCACCTTCTTGCTTAGTTTCAAATCATCCAATTGGGGGCTACATAATTGTCTTACATATCGAGATAGACATTGCCCGTGATGTTTCTCTCGACAGAGAAGAATGGGCCTATCACACAATCATGCATAACCCACACCAGACATTAATTTTGGGGCTGTAATAAAATGTACTCTTGATACTAGTGTGGGTTTTATGGCCCCCATATGCATACATTATGGCGGTTGACATGTCTAGGTAGTTGTGGTTCTCTGCAATTTTCTCCAACATTAAGCATACAAACTCATAACGCCGAGGTTTGTTGTCCAGCTCTAATTCTTGGACTATCTGCACTTTATAAGCATGCAATTTCAGTGTTTTATGGAGTACTCGGTGTACGGGTGTCTTAGGTAGATGAAGCTCCATTGATGCAGCGTAAGCAGACTTTCTAGGACTTCGTTGGAATGCTTTCCGAACAGATTCAATGGACTCTTCGGACATCCTTGGGCGTCCACTTCGGGGCAAGTTACAAACGCTGACTGTTTCCAGAAACTTTTGAAACCATGCCCTAATGCTGGGTTTTGAGTGTGGCTCTTTACCATACCTCTGGCGATATTGTCTTTGCACTATTGTCACTGAATTGCTCTTTGCAAACCAGACAACACATTGCACTTTCTCTTGATTAGACGCCATTGTTACTCCTTATATTCTCCACCAAGATAATACCTCTCAAATCCACTGCACCTGTAAACAAAAAAAACTTGATTAACTAAGGAATATGATGCAGCAAACTGTATTACTATATCCCTTTTGTTTTTTTAGTAAAAAAACTATTCAAAAACCGCAAAGAGATTTTCGGGACACTCTTGTTTATATATATATATATATATATATATATATATATATATGTGAAAGAGAAAGAGTATATATATATATATATATATATATATATATATATATATATATATGCAAGTAAATCACTGTAGGTGCGATCTAGGTATATGCTGAGCAACCACAAGGAAAGAAGAAGTTCTCGTGTAATTCACATCTTCAGGGGTGAGTACAGACTAAGGAGAAGTACAAAACAAGGTATATATATATACAGAGGAGGGTGAGATCAAGTCCACAATGGTCAGGTATTAGGTAATGACCCTATTAATCTTCAAAAAAGCACCGCAGCAGTCGGTAGTCAGGTCAGAGGGTAAGCTGACCCAACCTTCTCACCTAGTTACAAATCTTCTTAATTACGAAATTAAGAAGATTCAGTTCGATCGAAGAATATTTGTAGGTCGCTACCGGGTGTTGAATTTTCACCAATAAATGCAACATGAGGTATTCTTCCCTCGAATGGCTTTTCGACATAGCCCACTGCAACGCCTTGCACAATCATCATGAAGGTTCGAGGAGGACAAACTATTCCTTCAGCAGCAACGAAAACCAGGGCGACCTGGTTGCATGGGATCAGTCGATTGCAACCTTGCAAAGAAGGAGACAAGAATGGCTGATCGATTATTGCAAGCAATAAAACGGCAACTTGTACAAGAAGAGAAGACCAAAATGTGGAAGGAAAGGATTGATCTGGTTTCATCATCTTCTAGCAGTGCGGAAATCTCGGAGGATGAAAAATCACCAGGACCATCAACTTTGCCGGCATCACCTTCAAAGCGTCCACGGAAGCTAGTGGTCAACCAACATGTCTGTGCAGCCCTCGATCGGACAAGTCTCTGACCGAAACTCCATGTATATCCTGGCAACTACGGCTCGGAATATGGGCCAAGAAGTCTCTTATTTAACTATCAGTCGATCCTCAATTCGCCACCATCAAATCCAGCACCGTGAGAATATAGCAGCCATCATCAAAGAGAAGTTCTTCCTTATGGCGTCACTTGTCATCCATCGGGATGGCAAAATAATGACTGACATCATTGGCAGGGATGTCGTAGACCGTCTCCCAATCCTGGTTTCAGGAGGCAATGCAACCCAACTCCTCGGCATCCCGAAACTACTGTCTGGCACCGGAAAGTCTGTGGCGGATATTGTCAATAAGGCTATTGAAGAATGGTCGGTGAAAAACAATGTTGTGGCGATGTGTTTTGACACGGCAGCCACAAATACAGGTGGAATGAATGGAGCCTGTACTCTGTAGGAGCAAAAAATGGAGAAGGAACTCTTACATCTTGCCTGTCGACATCACATACTTGAAATTGTTTTGGAAGCAGCCTTCACAGCAGTGATGGGTATATCGACAGGTCCAGATATTCTAATGCTTAAACGTTTCCAGCAGAAATGGGGTTTAATTGACAAGAGCATCTCCTCTACGGTGATGGACACACGTCCAGATCCCTGGTTACTAGAAATTGCGGATGAGCTCATCAAGTTTGCGACAGAACAACTTAAAATTCACCAGCCCAGGGACGACTACCGAGAGCTCCTAGAGCTATTGATCATCTTCCTTGGTGGGGTTCCTCCTCGTGGTATCAGTTTCAAGGCATCGGGAGGCCTCCATCGCGTTAGGTGGATGGCTAAAGCCATCTATTCTATGAAACTCTGGATGTTCCGGGCTCAGTTCAAGGTGACTCCACGGGAGGAGACAGGTCCAAAAGCGGTTTGTGATTTCATCATCAAGGTATATCTTAAGGCCTGGTATCTCGCTCCTGTGCCCCAGCTCGCTCCCGCACAAGACCTCTGGCTGTTGAAGGAGCTCCAACGAAACCACAGTATCCATCCAAAGATTTCGGCAATGACTCTCAAGAAATTTCAAGGCCATCTCTGGTACTTAAGTGAGCACCTTGTTCCTTTGGCAATATTCGATGACTCGAGATCAATCACTCTGGAAGACAAAATGGCGATGGCACAGAGGCTGCTCCGTACAACAGATGAGATGGATCCAATGAAGAGGGCTGTCGTGGACGAATCTGCTATTCAAGAGAAAAAGATCAGTTCTCTCTTTAACGGATAATCCAATGCATTCTTTCTAATTTTGGGGCTAAATGATAGTTTCCTTCTAAAGACCCCAGAGGACTGGGAAGCAGATTATGCATTCCAGAGGGCCAATGAGGTAGTCATGCACCCTGAAAGTTGTTAATGATCTGGGAGAAAGAGGAGCTGCCTCAAGACAGAGTACAACAAGCTCATTACTGCTGACGAGGAACAAAAACAACACCTCCTCCAGGTCGTGGCAGATCACAGGAAGCAATTTCCTACACCAAAGAAGTCTCCATTGGTCTAGTATTTACTTGAGCCTTGCCCTAAACATAAACAGATCGTCTATATATTGGTCCTCCCATCAGATCTGAATTTTTTGCACATTATTATTATTGTGAAATGTCTTCCTTGGTAGCGACCTCTAAATATTATTCTAATGTCATGCAATTTTTACATCGTTATTATTATGTCATATATAACATTTTTGCGGACTGCCACAATCAAATTTCATTGTTTCATTTTTATACCCTGTTTTTGGACCACCCTAATATATATATATATATATATATATATATATATATATATATATATATATATATATATATATATATATATATATATATATATATATATATACATTATGTTCAATATGGATAACTGCCTGATAGCTATAACCTTTAGGTATTTATTTAATCTTCTGATCGAATACAGAAGATCCAGTAGATAATCAAAATACGTTATATATTAATAACTTCATAGAAAATTTAATCTAACCTTACCAGCTCATCCCACCCTTATCTAACATAATTTACGTGTAGTCTTATAATGGTAAATGACTTATAAATGAATCAGAGCAAATTAGGCTTCATCAAGATCTACCTATTTCAAATAATTTATATCAAACATGATAGCGACGACATTAGCGGAGCTTAGTTAAAGGGCAGTAGAATGTGTCCAGACTGAAGAGCAGAATCTAGCACATGTGAAGTACGAAAGTCATTTTACTTTTACTGTCAGGGGAAGGCAGCTGCGCTAAGACCAGTAGGACGGAAGGCAGTAGTAGCAGAAGGGACACTGCAATCGCCACCATCCTCCTCTTGCAAATTTCTTAAATAAAAAAATTATACATATATATATATTATATATATATATATATATATATGTATATATATATATATATATATATATATATATATATATATATATATATATATATATATATATATATATATATATATATATATATATATATATATATATATATATATATATATATACAAGTAAATCACTATAGGTGCGCGTGATCCAGGTATATGCTGATAACCACAAGGAAAAAGAAAACACGAAGTTCCCAAGCACTTTAGTGTAACATTAAGAATAATATCGATCGGGTTGATAAACCTAATAACTTACACATTAATTATGATTTTAAGCTGGTCAGTTTTGATGTAACATCACTCTTTACAAAGGTCCCAGTTGATGATTTACTGGAGTTCCTCATAGATTCCCTGGATAATATTTCATTGCCTGTCTCGAAAGATGACTTCATCGAACTCATCAGACGAAGAGTGCGGGGAGATATGATAGAAGAATTTAAGTGGGCGAAAGGAATCAATAAAGGTGATATAAATAAAGTTCCTATAATATACGAGCAGGATAGGACTCGTCGCAACGGATTCAAGTTGGATAAGTTTAGGTTTAGGAGGGAGATAGGAAGAAACTGGTTCACAAATAGGGTGGTGGAAGAGTGGAGCAAGCTTAGCAACTTTGTAGTAAGTGCTGGAACTCTGGAAAGTTTCAAAAGGAGGCTAGATAGATTCATGGATGATAGAGAGTGGTAGTAACTCTCGACAGGAGCTGCCATGCACAGGCCAACCGGCCTATTGCAGACTCCTTATTTTCTTATGTTCTTATGTAATAAATTTGTGAACTGTTATAAAAAAACTTCTCTCCTTGGTGGCTCCCTGACCACAAACTGGCCTTCTTCCCTCAACCACAGTCCTTCCCTCCTCCCCCCTCCTCACCTTCCCTCTCTTTCATTAATAAAAAAACAGATTAAAGTAAGAAAGAGAATTAAATAATAGAGAAGAAAATAAAAGAGACATAAAAGGTAGAGAGAAAATGAGTAAATAGAAATAAGAAATATAACAATGGGAATTGTTACCGTCAATGTAGCGAGCGGTAAGTATGCGATGTGTGAATAAAAAGACCCGTGCACGTGGACTCAATGAAGTATAATGGTCAAACCCTCAATACAATGTTAACGTTAACACAACACTTAAGATTTATGGATTACAAGTTAGGTGACAAATACAGCTTCGTATTGTAAACAATGGCAACAGCATTTATTTCAGACTAATCTGAATAATACAAAGGCGTATACATAGTATCTCCCAATACATAACATTTTAGAACAATAAAGCCTCGTAGAGCTTAGACTTAGGTGTACCGGGTCATATACTAGTCTGTGTTACACTAAACAAAGATAATCGCAGATTCAGTCATAAAATGCAACTGATGTTTCAAAAGAAAAGGGATAACTTTTTGATATATTTAAGACGTCATTTAAGAGAGCAAAATTAGAAGCAAGGCGGATCAGGTAAAGTTAGGCTAGGTGATATTAGGTTAGGTTAGGTTAGGTTAGATTAGGTTAGGTTAGATTAGGTTAGTTTAGGTTAGGTTAGGTTAGGTTAGATTTAGTATGAAACTATTTTTTATATATAGCTTTTATTATCTACATGATACTTTATGGTCAGTCAAAAATTTTCAAGAAACTATAATACAGAGAAGTTATCGCTAGTCGATAATTATCCGTGTATATATATATATATATAAACATAGGAACATAAGAAAATAAGGAGTCTGCAATAGGCCGGTTGGCCTGTGCATGGCAGCTCCTGTCGAGAGTTACTACCACTCTCTATCATCCATGAATCTATCCAGCCTCCCATTGAAACTTTCCAGCGTTCCAGCACTTACTACAAAGTTGCTAAGCTTGTTCCACTCGTCCACCACCCTATTTGTAAACCAGTTCCTTCCCATCTCCCTCCTAAACCTAAACTTATCCAACTTGAATCCGTTGTTCCGAGTCCTATCCTTCTCGGATAGTATAAGAACTTTATATATATATATATATATATATATATATATATATATATATATATATATATATATATATATATATATATATATATATATATATATATATATATATATATATATATATATATATATGTATATATATATATCATGTAGATCCACAATGAAAACGTGGATAAGATAAATCTTGATAAAATCACACGTGCAGTGCCCTGTTCGTTCAAGTTAGGAATAATAATCATCCCATTGCTTGGGAAAAAAGCTTAGAAGTATTCAAATCATCTTGTGTCACAGAAGGTCTTCTGGTTGAAGCTAGTTTGATTAAGGAAATAAAATCAATAACCCTTAGTGATGGTCAGTTCAAAACTGATATTATGTTACATAAATTTATTTATCGTGGCCCAAGGTTAAAAATGCTTTGAAAACCTTGCAGCTAGATGTAGGATGGTTATTTAGTGGGTCCCATATTTTTGACCTGACCTGACCTGTCTAGTTACGTCGCCCCCTTTCTCTTAAGCTCCTCTACGTCAAGGATACATTAAAATGTTGTATTAATAATTCAATAAAGTGTGAAATAGGAACCGAGTCTGTATGGGTAGAAATCACGGAAGGAAGAGAAAAACTAATTTTGGGAGTGATTTACAGGCCCCCAAGTCTTGGAAAGAAGCAGCTCAGCCTATATGGCAGGAAATGAGTACGGCAGCAAAACATAACAACCTGTGCATTATGAGGGATTTCAACTTCAGAAATATTGACTGGGACAACATTGTAGGTGACTATGAATCTGAAGACTTCCTAGACGCAGTACAGGACAATTTTTTGAAACAACTAATTACAGAACCTACTAGAGGTGACAATATATTAGACCTAGTATTAACAAATATAGAAAATATTATTAGAGATATCACAGTAGGGAAAGAACTAGGCAACAGTGATCACAGATAAATCAGGTTCACCCTAAATTGGGAAACAAAAAACAATGACAATATGGTCAGAGTCCCAAACTTTCGGTTGGCGGATTATCAGGGGTTAAGAAGGTACCTAGGTGAGGTCACCTGGGAACAGTCACGTCAGTCCCCAGTAGGAAGGGGTGAGGTCATAGATGACACAACAATTGATCATGACTATAATATATTTACTAGTATACTACATAAAGCACAAGAACAAAATATACCATACAGAAAAATTAGGTCAAATAAGAATGAGCCAAGGTGGATGACCAGAAAACTTAAACATGACATAGGAATAAAGAAAGGAATTAATAAGAAATTAAAGGGAGGGGAGGAGCAGCTCAGAAATAGGTACATTGAACTATCTAGGAATGTTAAGAAAAATGTAAGGAAAGCAAAGAGAGACTATGAAATCAAAATAGCAAGTGAATCCAAGGCTAATCCCAAGGGATTTTTCCAGGTATATAGAACAAATGTCAATGACAAAGTTGGGCCTTTAAAGTCAGAGAGGGGAGAAGTGATAAATGGCAGTGGAGAAATAAGCAAAGCATTGAACATCTACTTCCTATCAGTTTTCACAGAAGAAAATTGAGAGGAAATTCCAGAGGTGGAACTGATATTTAGGGGAAAGGAAGAAGAGAAATTAAAGAATATCACTAACAGAAAAGAGGATGTTCTTAAGAGGATAAATAAACTAAAGAAGACAAAATCCCCAGGGCCGGACGAAATCTTCCCTCGAGTCTTGAAAGAGTGTAGGGTACAGATTAGCGGACCACTGGTAAATTTATTTACAAAATCATTAGACACCGGAGTTGTGCCAGACTTGTGGAAACAGGCAAATGTAGTACCCATATTCAAAAAGGGAGACAGAGCATCAACGTCAAATTACCGGCCGATCAGTTTGACGTCAGTAGTGAGGAAATTTCTAGAATCAATTATAGCAGATAGCATCGGATCACATCTAGAGGAAAGTAAATTAATCTACGACTCTCAACATGGGTTTACAAAGGGAAAAGCTTGTGTAACAAATCTGCTGACGTTTTTTAGGAAAGTCTTCGAGGTAGTAGATAATGACAAAAATTACGATGTTATTTACTTAGACTTTAGTAAAGCATTTGACAGAGTACCGCATCAGAGGCTTCTGAGAAAAATTAAGGCTCATGGTATCGAGGGGAAAGTTCTAAATTGGATAGAATCATGGCTCACCGATTGAACGCAGAGGGTCAGCGTAGATGGTGTTAAATCTGAGTGGGACCGTGTAACCAGTGGGGTTCCCCAGGGGTCAGTACTAGGCCCACTCTTGTTCATAATTTACATAAACGATCTCGATACTAGGATCAGCAGTGACATAAGCAAGTTTGCGGATGACACCAAAATAGGGTTGCAGATTAATTCAGGGCAGGATGCAAATGCATTACAGGAGGATCTAAATATACTGCAGGGGTGGTCTGAAAAATGGCAAATGAAATTCATTACCAGCAAGTGCAGCGTACTTAATATTGGAAGAACAAATACTGATAATGTATACAGCCTTAACAACATCAACCTAGAGAAGTCGACTTGTGAAAGAGACCTAGGGGTACTTGTAATGCCGGACCTACGGCCTAGAAAACAGTGCGTTAATGTTCGAAATAAGGCAAACAGAGTATTGGGTTTTATATCTAGAAGTGTAAGTAACAAGAGTGCAGAGGTCTTATTGCAACTATATCTTGCGCTAGTCAGGCTGCACCTCGATTATGCGGTTCAGTTCTGGTGCCCCTATTATAGAATGGATATCAATTCAATAGAGTCGGTGCAGCGAAGAATGACAAAAATGATTCCGGGACTTAGAAACCTTCCATATCAGGATAGGTTAAAGCAACTTAACTTGCATTCCCTAGAAAGACGAAGAGTGCGGGGAGATATGATAGAAGTATTTAAGTGGGTGAAAGGAATCAATAAAGGGATATAGATAAAGTTCTTATAATATCCGAGCAGGATAGGACTCGGAGCAACGGATTTAAGTTGGATAAGTTTAGGTTTGGGAGGGAGATAGGAAGAAAGTGGTTCACAAATAGGGTGGTGGACGAGTGGAACAAGCTTAGCAACTTTGTAGCAAGTGCTGGAACTCTGGAAAGTTTCAAAAGGAGGCTAGATAGATTCATGGATGATAGAGTGGTAGTAACTCGACAGGAGCTGCCTTGCACAGGCCAACCGGCCTATTGCAGACTCCTTATATTCTTATGTTCTCATGTTCTATTAGTGGATGACATCATTATGACATCATGTGGGGGGTTGATGTATTAGATAACCGCAAGGTCAGTTTTGTTCTCTGTTGGCAGCTAAACGTCCATGGGTAGGACGAACGTTGTGAATCATTGCGATGAACTTCAGATAATTAGAATATGATATGAAGTTGTGATGAACTTTTTCCACCGGGTAGTGGGGGGATACAGACCTTGGTCCATTACCCACATGTATTGTGTTATCGTTGTCTCTCGACTCTGTGAGGTATAGAGACATGCTGTGAGGACCAACTCCAATATCCATCTTTCTTCTCTCTCTACGAATTCTATGTTTAAGATGCTTTGTGTTGACGTTGCCCTCCACTTTCCATCTGTGAATCCACCTGTAAACAGTAGACACGCTGGTGCTCGTTGTGTGAGCTATGGCGCGGAGGGACATGCCGCCCACCCACAAACGCACAAATGTGGCGCGGTCACTCAGAGAAGTGGGCTTGAATCTGCGGTTGCACTCCATAGTAATTTTCTGTAAACATGAAATAGAATAGTCAACTATACATGTTTAGTATCATTTACGTTAAAGATATGGCTAAATGACTTTGTGTTTAGTATGTGTTAACGATATTAACTTATTAAGCGTTACTTATTTCCAGGGAAAATATTTATAGTCGGATGTTGTTTATCTGAAAAGGTGAATAAACGATGCAAAAAATATCAAGGACATAAGATTAATTTGAAGAACTAGTGCCGCCACTAGTGATTATTACCTCATCAATCCAGGGATTTTTTTTTTCATTGTTGATGGACTAGTGTAGTTACTGACATTGTTTCATGATTAAATACTTTAACATTTGTTGCGCAGTAG